ATCCACAGCAGACTGTCAATCCTCAACCTTCTCTGAAATATCCCCAGATTTGTTCTTCACTCCCAGACAGCGTAGAAACACAAAAGGGGAAAGAAGGGCAGCTAAGGCCTTGGGAACCCGAATACTGGCCCAAAGCCAGAGGGTCACTCTCTTAGGTTGGCGGACCTGAGCAGCTGAAAAGGAGGCCACCCAGGAGGGAGAAGCACCCGAGTCTGACCCACACCCTAACGCCTCTGAACCAGGAGAGGCAACAGAGGCCCTAGATCTCGGGCAGATTAGCCCCAGGAGAGGAAATTTTGGACGGGACCAGGCTGAAGACCCAAGGTACGACAACATTAGGAAGGAGGTGACCGAAATAGATGGGGTCCCCGTGGAAGGGAAAACCATGGGACCAGGACCCTACTTCATAATGAAGAAGAATCCCTTATACCGGGTTGCACCAGTACAGGGGCAGAAGGTACAGCAGATCCTACTACCTCAAAAACACCAGAATGCTGTATTAAGTCTGGCCCATAGTCATCTTTTTGGGGGGGCATTTGGGGGTAGAGAAGACCCTGGCATGGGTCCTGCAACGATTCTTCTGGCCCGGAGTACATGAAGAAATGTGGAGGTACTGTGCGTCCTGCCCGGAGTGTCAGCTGCACAGTCCCCGTCCCCACTTGAGGGTACCTTTAGAGTTCCCCTTTGAGTGAATAGCCATGGACCTAGTGGGACCCCTGGAGAAGACAGCCCAGGGCCACCAATATATACTTGTCATTCTGGATTATGCTACTCGCTACCTAGAAGCCGTTCCCCTGCGGAATACGGCATCTGAAACGATAGCTAAAGAGTTGGTGGGGATCTTTGCCCGAGTGGGGCTACCAAAGGAGATATTAACAGACCAAGGTACCCCATTTATGTCAAAGCTAATGAAGGACCTCTGTATGCTGCTCCATATACATACCCTGAGAACTTCAGTCTATCATCTGCAGACCGATGTGCTGGTAGAAAGGTTTAACCGAACCCTCAAGGCAATGATAAGGAAAGTGGTAAATCGGGACGGGAAGGATTGGGACACCCTACTACCCTACCTTATGTTTGCAATCCAGGAGGTACCTCAGGCCTCAACTGGGTTTTCTCCCTTTGAATTATTATACGGACGCCACCCCCATCGCATACTAAATATCAGAAAAGAAATCTGGGAAGAGAAACCCAATGAGGGGAGAAATATAATTGACCGTGTGTTGCAGATGCAAGAACTGATAGCCCAGGTCACCCCTATTGTACGGGAACATTTGGAAAAGGTGCAGGAGGCCCAGCGAACCCATTACAATCGCCAGGCAAAAGTCCGACAGTTCCAACCAGGGGATCGGGTGATGGTGTTGGTACCCACGGCAGAAAGCAAGCTTTGGCCCAATGGCAGGGGGCCCTGTGAGGTGGTTGAACCCATGGGGGAAGTAACCTACAAGGTGTGGCAGCCAGGACGCCGGAAACAAGAACAAATTTATCACATTAACCTCTTAAAGCCTTGGCACCAACGAGAGGCGTGTGTAGTGGCCCAAGAGACCCCGAGCCAGGGAAATAACATGCAGGAGCAGATCAGGATATCCACTGATATGACACCAAACCAGAAGAAGGAGGTAACTGAGATGATCAACTGATACCAGGATGTGTTTTCAACCAAACCAGGTCAGACCACCGAAGCATATCACCACATTATCACAGACCCTGGGGCAAAGGTAACTTTAAGGCCCTATCGGGTCCCAGCAGCAAAAAGGGAGGAGATCAAGGCAGAGGTAAAAAGGATGTTGGAGCTGGGAGTCATCGAAGAGTCCCACAGTCAGTGGTCAAGCCCGATTTTGTTGGTGCCCAAACCCGATGGCACCACTAGGTTTTATAATGACTTTCGCTGGCTGCATGAGATATCCAAATTTGATGCATACCCCATACCCTGTATTGATGAGTTAGTTGACCGCCTGGCCCAATTTTTGACCACTCTTGATATAACAAAGGGATACTGGCAGATTTCCCTTGCCAAAGATGTGAAAGAAAAGACGGCATTCTCTATCCCAGAAGGTCTGTTTCAATATACTGTTCTTCCTTTTGGACTGCATGATGCACCTGCCACTTTCCAGTGTCTTATGGACAAGCTCCTACGGCCCCATACCAGTTATGCAGCGGCATACCTGGATGATGTGATTATTCATACCCGCGACTGGGAAACCCACTTAGAAAAGATGGAAGCGGTTCTGGACATGCTAAGACGGGCTGGCCTCACAGCCAACCCAGCCAAGTGTGCAATAGGGCTAGCTGAGGCTAAATACCTTGGCTACATTGTAAGAAGCGGCATGGTCAAGCCCCAACTAAACAAACTAGAGGCTATCCAAAATTGGCCCCGGCTGAATCAGAAAAAGCAAGTCCCGGCATTCCTGGGGGTGGTGGGGTGCTACCGACAATTTATTCCCCATTTTGCTATCAGAGCGAGTCCCTTGATAGACCTGATAAAAGCCTGGGTCCAGACATGGTGAAGTGGACAGATGCCGCAGAGAAAGCATTCATGGATCTATGGACAGCCGTCTGCAGTAACCCTGTGCTTATAGCCCCAGACTTCAACAAAGAATTCATTTTTACAAACAGATACATCTGAAGTAGGATTGGGAGCTGTCCTATCGCAGATGGTTGGAGATGAAGAACACCCAATCCTCTACCTCAGCAGGAAACTCCTCCCGAGAGAGCAGAAGTATGCCGTGGTTGAAAGAGAGTGCCTAGCTGTGAAATGGGCCATGGAAACACTACGTTATTACCTTCTGGGACAACGGTTTACCCTTGTGATCGACCACGCACCCGTCCAGTGGATGCAGCGAAATAAAGAGAAGAACGCAGGGTGACCAGATGGTTCCTGTCTCTACAACCTTTCCAGTTCACCATACAACACCGGGCTGGAAGCCACCATGGCAATGCAGATGGCTTGTCATGAGTACACTGCCTGATGTCCCAAGTTGCCCAACCCGTAGTGGTGAGCAGAGGGGGGGGATATGTGACAGGGTCGGGCCAGGTGGCAACAGGAGAGTAATAGAAGGCAGATATATTAGCCCCAGGTTAAGTAGGTCCCTTTTCCCTGGGTAAGGTAAAGGGAAGGTTCCCGAACAATCAGGAACCTTCTGGAGATAATTAAGACAGACAGGCTGATTAGAACACCTGCAGCCAATCAAGAAGCTGCTAGAATCAATTAAGGCAGGCTAATCAGGGCACCTGGGTTCAAACAGGAGCTCACTTCAGTTCGTGGTGCGCGTGTAAGGAGCTGAGAGTGAGAACGCATACTGTTGGAGGACTGAGGAGTACAAGTATTATCAGACACCAGGAGGAAGGTCCTATGGTGAGGATAAGGAAGGTGTTGGGAGGAGGCCATGGGGAAGTAGCCCAGGGAGTTGTAGCTGTTGCACAGCTGTTCCAGGAGGCACTCTAGACAGCTGCATTCCACAGGGCCCTGGGCTGGAACCCGGAGTAGAGGGCGGGCCTGGGTTCCCCCCAAACCTCCCAGCTCCTGGTCAGACACAGGAGGAGTTGATCTGGACTGTGGGTTCATGAAAACGGCCAAACTGAGCTCCAAGGCGAGCAAATCCACCAATAAGCGCAAGATCCACTAAGGTAGAGGAGGAACTTTGTCACAATATACAACTTTAATCTCAAACAATCCCAATGCTTTTTACCAATTGATATATAAACCATATGCAGGAATTAATTAATCCATCTCTGAAATACAGTCCCTCTGTGGTGAAAAAGTGTCCTGGGGGTCCTGGGGTAGGGGAAGGTAGGCAAAATTAGACAAATCTAGATTAGGTATGACCAGTGTTAATGTTTGTGTAGTGTACTTCATTTACATCCGTTCTTATTTTTATACTTGTCTTGTTGCTTACATTACCTGGCATAATATTATTCTACATATATTGTCTTCTTTACTGTGTATTGGTTTATGATATTAGTGCATTAAGTTCCATTGCTTAGTCCACTTACTTTAAATATTCCTTATTTTATTTATATAATTATGCCAACATATGTATTTTGTTAAAGTTCTTGAAAAATTGGTTACACTTTAGAATACGACTGCAGTTATATAGTAGTTGTACTACTGTGAAAGTGTTACCCACAATAGTTAATTTTCTGGTTAGAGGATTTTGTATTAGGTACATGTATCAAAAATATATATTCAGAAAAGTTAGTGGAATATAGTAAGTTTGAAATTAAATGGGTGACAAGTAATTTGCTCATGTCATTAACCTTCCAGTTATATGAATTAGTAGTAATTCCAAGTATCATAAAGGTTAACCACATTGTTATTACATTTTAATTAGTCTCTCTATTAAGTGTAACCAAAAAAGGTAAGTTTAAAAAAAGGAGAGAGAACACATTCCAGGTCATTATCCACAATGTCATTCCAAGAAGGAGAATGCTCTTGCATATTTTTGGCAATACAGATGTAATGTTCAAAACCTCTGAGCTATTTAAATGCCTAATTATATTTGAAACTATTATAGCCTCATGTTGATATGCAGGAATTTAATTCTGAGTTATGAAAATCAATCCCCATATATCAAGATGACAAGATACACCAATGTGTTATTTTTCTTTAGCATTTGATAAATAATATTTGATTAGCCCATCATTGTATAGGGGCAGAGTCTGCTCCTCTTGCACTGAGCAGCAACTTTACATCAGAGTCCTATAGATATCGATGGAACTACTCATTGTAAAGACAGAAGAAACTAGTCCATATGATGTAGCAGACAAATCAGTGGGGTACAGATGCTGCTTGTTAACCTCATGGTCAGAGTAAAGCTAAATAAAATTAATAAATGTCTGTTTTAAGCAACACTTTAGTTTCCATCTTTCTGCTATTCCATAATTGAACATTAGGAAAGAAAAGCTTAGAAAATATGTTAATAAATGTCATACCAGTTTTACTTCTTGTGTTTTGTCTTTTGTTGACTTTTTTATTCTTTATTTTATCTCCCTTCTCCCAGTCACTGAATGGCTTTGCCTTGGTGGTGAGTTCAGATGGAATGATATTTTATGCATCATCAACTATTGTGGACTATCTAGGCTTTCATCAGGTAAATATATATTAAAAGTATTTAGAATGCTTAATGTTGTACAATTTGTAATGGCTCCCTTGCTGTAATTTCTTTTGATACACTCTCTAAAATCATGTACGGTACACTGTTTTGACATGTCCCTTTACAATTGACTAGATATAAAGTATAAATGGACTAAAGGTATATTTATGATGCAATTTCAGATTAGGATATGGGACTCTAACTTTCCTATTTTTTTATTTTTATTTTTTTTTAGAATTCAGGTGAATGTGTATTCTATGTAACATCCCAGAAGACATTTTGAGCTATTCTGTTATTGTGAATCTTTGGTAAACAAAGACATGAACTGTTACAAATATAGAATATACCCCTAACACTCATCATTGTAATTTATCCCTTCAATTTAACATTCAGAACAAGCATTATTTTAATAAATGCAAAAATTACCTTAATGCAACATTGATGGATATTTTGCACGTGCACAAAAGTCAGGAAATTAAGAATTAAGGCTTAAAAGATCCTCACTACAATACTGTAGTTTAAAATAAAAAGTAAACGTGAGAGTCAGGAAATTCAGAAATAATATTCCTCAAGCAATCTTAGCTCTGACCCAATATCCCCACCAACCATCCACCTAATGGGGATATAGAGATAATAGCCCCTAGCCAATGAACTTACATCCTAAACATTGTTTATTGGAATTATTTCAGACTGATGTAATGCACCAAAATATATACGATTACATTCATGTGGATGATCGCCAAGATTTCTGTAAACAACTGCACTGGGCCATGAATCCTCCACAACTGGTATCTGGACAACAACTGCAGACAGAAACAGGTAGGTTTGTGTAATATTCATTAGAGATATAGGAATTGTCATAGTGAATCCAGATCAGTGGTCCATCTAGTCCAGCAGCCTGACTTTGATAGTGACTAGTGCCAGATCCCTCAAACCAAGGTGCAGAAACCCTCAGAGTGGACAATTGCAACACGATGAGCCCATGGGGGATCTTTCTTCCTAACTCTTGACAGTTAGAAAATGGTTTATGCCTTGAAGAGTTTACATTACTTTTTTTTTCCTATCGAATGTAGCTGTAGATCTTCTCATCATCCATAAAAATGGTTAATCCTACTAAGCTCTTGTCTTTCAATAACATATCAATATTTCTCTCAATCACAAAAATACAGTATACAGAAGGTTTCTGAACACTATTGCTACAGCAGTTAATAATTTGCACTTCTATGGTATTAAACCTTTCATTAAAAGATTTTAAAGGACTTTATAAATGGGCACCCCTGGAAAGTGGGTAAGTATTTGTGCTGTCATCCCATTTGCTTTCTCACACTAAACTACCTGGATAAAAGACGTCTAAAGAACAAGTAGGTGCTGCAGTCCATTTTCCTTGATTCAGTACTGTCCCAGCATGGTGTTAGGGCACCCTCTGCTGTTTAGAGGTGCTTTCTATCAGATGAGGCATAAAACAGAAATCATGACTACTTCTAGTCATTAAAGTTCCCTTTCTCTAAGAATACAAGAGGGATGTGAACTCGAGCAACTGAGCCATGATCCTTCTCTGGTGACTACATTCTGTCACTCTAAATTCCCCTTGCAATTTTATCTGGAGAAATTATTATTCATTTCTATACAAAATTTCTGTGTAGTGTTGCTGTGCAGTTTAGGGCTGCTGAATAATTACCACATTTCACATCACAGGTGTCTGTATTGTAGAGGTAAAGTGATCCCCCAGCATAGTCTAAATATCAGTTTAAGTTTAAACACTACATTGTGGGATTCTTTGGAATAAAAGTATCCATTACTACTACTGTTAATAATTTGCACTTCTATGGTATTAAGCCTTTAATTAAAAGATTTTAAAGGACTTTATAAATGGGCACCCCGGAGGGTAGGTAAGTATTTTTATTCCCATTTTATAGATAGACAAACTAAGGTATGTAGAGGTTGTGACTTGTCTAAGGTAGTAATAGTGGTAATAATAATATCCCCAGTAAAACTTCAATATAGAGTTGAGGTTGAAACTTTATTGCCCTTTTAAATACAACATCTTTTAACAATATTTGATTAATGAGAAATGCGAGAAAACAGAAAATGTTCAGTTAAGGTTTCAACTCTAGCCTTAGCTCAGACATGCCACACCTGCTCACGTTCCAGCTACAGACCAGAGAACCTTCTCAGCACATGAACATGAAGTCTGCCAAGTTTTTTTATTTATTTTATTTATGTTTGTCCAGCTAAAAAAGTAAGAACAGTTTCTGACAAGTGAAAAAATGCTCTTTGTTACCCAAGGCCTAAAACTTTCAGAGGAATTGAATACCCAGAACTCCAGTTTAAGTCAATAGTAATGGTGAATTCTTTGAAAAATCTGGTGGCTCAAATTGGGCACATAAAAATTGGAGGCACCCAAAACTAGTGATCATTTCTGAAAATGTTGGCCCCACTTTCTCTGTTCTCCTTTCTAGACAATGGGGGTGATACTGTAACTACCTCACAGGGTTACTAACTGGAAATAACCCATTTTGTCCAGTTCCTGGAGTCTGTCATAATTTGGGTAAAATGTATGAAGTCCTTCAGACCTTTCACAAACTTAAAGTACACCAGACCCATGGTAAAATGTATATACATCACTGAAGGCTAACAGAGCATTAATAGGTTTTTCAGATGGGTAGGAAGAAACTTGCAAGCAGCACCATGAAGTAGGAGTCCATGGCTGGCTTTTAAACTCAGAAAATTTATACAGGTCTTTTAACTTCAAAAGCAGTCCCCATGAAGCTTATGGTTTCCACAGGAGTTCTTGCAGTCTTTGGAGAACTTTGTAAAATATGGTCCCTTCTTTATAGAAGAAATAAATACCTCTCAATGAAACAAAATGCACTAGGCCAGGGGCGGGCAAACTTTTTGGCCGCCACATCGGGTTTCCAAAATTGTATGGAGGGCCGGTTAGGGGACTCTGTGTTTCCCCAAACAGCCAGGCATGGCCCGGCCCCCGCCTCCTATCCGACAACCCCGCTTCTCACCCCTGATGGCTCCCCCAGGACTCCTGCCCCATCCAACCCCCCCGTCCCCTGACGGCCCCCCCGGGACTCCTACCCCATCCACCACCCCCTGTCCCCTGACCACCCCCAGACCTGCTCACACGTGCCTGCCCCCCGCCGCCCCATCCAACCCCCCTCTCATTCCTGACTTGCCCCCCGGGACCCCTGCCCCTTCCAACCACCCCTTCTCCCTCTCCCCTGACCATCCCTGGACCCCCCACCCCTGCCTGCCCCCTGCCGCCCCATCCAACCCCCCTCTCATTCCTGACTTGCCCCCTGGGACCCCTGCCCCATCCAACCACCCCTTCTCCCTGTCCCCTGACCACCCCCGGAACCCCCACCCCTGCCTGCCCCCTGCCACCCCATCCAACACCCCTTCTCCTTCCTGACTGCTCCTCTGGGACCCCTGCCCTATCCAATCCCCGTGTTCCCTGCCCTCTGACCACCCCAACCCTTATCCACACCCCCACCCCCTGACCACCCTCACAACTCCCCTGCCCTCTATCCAACCCCCCCTGCTCCCTGCCCCCTTACTGCGCTGTCTGGAGCACCGGTGGCTGGCAGCGCTACAGCCGTGCCTCCCAGAGCACTGGGTCAGGCCGCGGCTCTGCAACTGCACTGCCTGGCTGCCCAGAGCGTTGTGCTGGCGGCTCAGTGCGCTGAGGCTGCGGGGGAGGGGGAACAGCAGGGGAGGGGCCAGGAGCTCAGGGGCCAGGCAGGAGTGTCCCGCAGGCTGTATGTGGCCCACAGGCTGTAGTTTGCCAACCTGTGCACTAGGCATTTAACAAACTGTAAAAACAGTATGCAGACATTAACTAAATTTGAACAATATTTTTTGGAAATTAGCAGTGATGAACACTCTGAAATTTTGTTCTGGGTATGTACAGTAGAGAATTGCAGTAAGTCTCAGAGTTCACACTTCTAGAGAAGTACTCGTGTTTCTTTTGAGAAATGCATACTGCAAAAACTATGCACTGGTGCTCATAACTGGTACATGCTTTACAAAAGAACTCAGGAGGCATCAGCTAACCTTTGGCTGACTGATGCCTGTCAGCAGTGCCAATAAGCATTTTCTCCTAATGTTCTTCCTTTTTTGTCTCTTTTCTTTGAAAAGTGTAGCAAACCAAAAGGAAAAACCTTTTCTATGTTACTGTAAGATTAATTTTGCTAAGTTAAAAATCACAAAAAGTCACAAAATACGAAAGTTTATGTTCCCCCAGGCAAATTAACTTAAGCTTATTGCACAGCTGTTGTTTTGTGATGTACTCCTAGCAGATATTAATATTCATGACTGAATATTCACTACAAAATATTCTTTTTAGGAATTTCTTTAACTGTGTGTTCAAATATGTACACAGAATTTTCATTCTGAGTTCATATAATCTGACATATGTCACCCACATTGTTTGTAGGAGAAGAATACATTCTCGGTAAGATGTTTAAGGCACAAGAGTGTGACAGCATGCCAACAGATTATTCTTCCTTTTTAACTCGTTGTTTCATCTGTCGAGTCCGCTGCCTGTTGGACAGTACTTCCGGTTTCCTTGTAAGTCTAATTTTGTGAAACAAGCTGTGGCTGAGTAGCACAAATTTAAATGACCTCTTAAAGATATTTGAACATGATTGTATGAATTGCATGCACTGATATGGAAATACAATTTTAGGATGTCTTCTATTTTTGACAGTTTTTTAATTAGTTGAATGTTTTTATTTATGATTTTGCATCATTGGAACTGTCCCAAATGACGATCTCTATTAGTTAAGACACAGGTAGCACTGCTGTGGTTAAGGATCTATCGGTACTAATGTTACAACACTCCTATTTTGGGACACTGTAAACACTCAGTTATAAAGTATGAAATTTTTGTCATTGTTCCAGCATGCAGCTGACTAGAACTTTATATAAGAAAAGAACACAAGTAAGTATTGGGCATTCTTAAGATACTTGAGCTGTAATTCTTTGGGAAACCCAGAGTATATTTCCATACATACTAGTACTTGAAAAATACTTTTCTATATTTATATTCAGTTTAAAAGTCCTGACCTCATACGTTCTCTCTTCCTCCATCCCACAAACATAAACATCATGACCGATGTCTCCACCTAGCAAAAATTAAAGAGGCAAAAAGTGACCATTTTGCTCAGTGTTTTTGTACACCAGCCTAGAACCCTCCATTTTCCCCTTTCATCTCCCAAACAAAGGGGAAGCTAAGATGAAAGATGAGGATTAAAATGATCAGCTAAGAAGAACTCTGTGGAGAAAAGGCTGTGGTCCAAGATTTCCCTGAGCACTGAGCTCAAAGTTTCAGGCAAGGTGGGCAGAGTTTTGCAGATCCCCCTTACAAAAGGTCCCTTGGTCTGAACCATAACAGGAAAATCCCCCCCAGGAAAGGCATCACAAAAATTGATAGGATTTGAGGGTTCCACAGTAATTTCTCCTTCCCCTACAACAAACTCAGCCTCACCAGAACCTTCATTTTCCTGCACTGACTGACACTTTTCCCGTCACTTTTCTATCAATTTGTAAAGGGTGTCTGTGAAACTCTTCTCCTGCTCTCACCATTCCCTCCATTTACAGGCAAACACTCTCCTTCTCCTCTAAGTCTTCCTCCTGGGTTACAGCACCCCTCACACCAAATGTATTTTTTCATGGCAGTCTGAATCTTCAGTTGTGTTCCCTAGTGTTGACTCATGAGATTCCTGTCTGGCTTCCTTGAAACAGGCCCTGCATTCTCTTCTCCGCTTTCTGTTCTACATCCAAGCATGCTGTTCCCTCCAGATACTCCCTTCCTGACCCAGAAGGCTCTTCGCTCACCTTCAGCTCCTCCCTTCATTCCACACACACTTATATCTATTCTCTAAAGTTACCTATGGCTTTGCCTCTGGAGAGGAGGACTGCCAAACACAAGGGATTTCCCTGCTCAGGACACTGATCCACAGCAGAGTTTGAGTCCCCATCTTATTATGTAATTCCCAGCACCTTCTCCCCAATATGGAAGCAAATGTTTGTCCTTAACCCCGTGGTGCTCTGTGCTAATACACAAAAGCATGTTTTAACTCATTAGATAGACAGGCTCTTTGCTAATTATAAGGTGAATGTTTCCATCTAACCTTCCCCACCAAATACACCTTCCCTGTAGAAAACTCTTCCTTAGGTTCCTTACATGGCATTTAAGATAATCAGACACTCACCTTTTGTAGGCAAGAGCAATGTGGCTCAGTTTATCACAGTCCTTGAACCACAAGGTCTCTGATCTAGAGTCAGCTGTTAAGAAGTGAATAAAGTCTAAGGGCTTGAGTGTTGACACTGAAGGAGAAGGAGACCTTCTCTCTTTATGCAGGTTTCAGAGTGGTAGCCGTGTTAGTCTGTATCACCAAAAAAAAAAACCAAAAAAAAAACCCGAGGAGTACTTGTGGCACCTTAGAGACTAACAAATTTATTTGGGCATAAGCTTTTGTGGGCTGAAACCCACTTTTTAGCCCATGAAAGCTTATGCCCAAATAAATTTGTTAGTCTCTAAGGTGCCACAAGTACTCCTCGTTTTTTTTTTTCCTCTTTCTGCACTATCCTGGCAGCTGCTGAAGTAAGCTATAGGCTTCCTATAATCCTCCCTACTCCAAGCTACAAACTCAGCTCTAAAACACAATCCAGAACATACACAGTTGTGAGGACTGGTAGAGTTTTCATGATGTCATTTTAGGTGTTGCCGGAAGCATTGTTTCATTTGTTGTACGCTAAACAAAGAACTTTGTGTGGGGGGGGGGCATTTATTAAGTCTATATACAAGATAAAAAAAGAAAAAACAAGTGATAATATTTAAAATTCAAAGGATCAACTTTTAGATTGTATAGTCTTTGGGACAGAGACTGTCATCTGTTATACATTTGTACAATGCCTGGTACAATGGAGTCAACCTGGCTGTGGCCTTGAGATGGTATCACAATATAAATGTTAACAACAATAATAATCCCTCTCCCTCTCTAATTGTGCATAGAGCCTTTTAAAGGGAAAACTCATTTTTAAAAGTCTCAGATAACTTTGTTGAAGATAAGAGAAAGTCAGTTGTAGGTGATAACTTCCAGAGTCTTTTATTAAAGTCCAATCCTGTTTCTTCTTAAGTTAAAACAAGACACACACAAAAACAGGGAGAGAAAAATAGCAAGAGATAGGAAAATATTCTGTCTTGGATGCTTGCAGTTCACTTGCTGCTAGGCCATGGGCATAGTATATGACCCAGTTAGCTACTTCTGGGTCCAAGCATTACTCCTGTAGCTCTGGAAAACATTTGGCTGGAGTGCTTGTATTTTCCTTTGGTAGGCAAACTTCTACTGAGATCAGGCTGCTGTTAGCTGTGAGCAACTTGGCAGGCTAAGCATTGCAAGGTTAGATTTGTCCTGTTGGCTGAGCTCTTACAGTCAGAAGATAAAAAGAGAGATGGAGAAGTGGGAGAAGTGAGGGAGTGGAAGTCGATGCACCAGGAAAGAGATAATACTAAGAAAGCTCAGGTTCCCATCTCAGGAGTTTCTCAGGCACCTTGGAGGCAATCATGTCATGTGCTCCCTCCGGGCTGTGGTGGTTGCACTGTCAAGCCATTACCCGTAGCTGGCAGAGCAATGAGGTGAATGCCTCCCTGAACCTTTGCACTGGTTCCTGACCATGTCAGCAGAGGGAAAGGGGTGGAACTGCAGTATGTTCCAGTCTGTTGAAGAAGCCCTGAGATACAGTGGTCTGTCCCTCCAGACTCTTTCTTCTCAAGTCTCAGCAGCAGTGTTGATCTTTGCTTAGCACCCTGCTCTAGGACAGAACTGTGCAGAAGGCACTAGTCCCAGACTGAAACTCCAAACCTCCCCCCATCCCTGACATCTGATTGTGGGTACAGTGGAGGGTAAAGGTCTTCAGACAGGGACTGAAGTTTCCCTTCCTGCCCCATACAAAGTATCCTGACATTTTGAGCCTACCTTCCCTCCCATCTGCATGGTTCCTCTGCATTTTGCCCCAGCCATGTACCTCCCAGAGAATACACACAATTATTTCACAAGGGGATGGGGGAGAAAGGAAGAAAACTCAGGAATCTTCATCCTGGAGAGATCAGAGCATGGAAGAAAAAACCCAGTTCCAGCTCCAGACTGAGGCATACAGGAAACTGTTACTTATGCCTCATAAGCTGCTAGACTTGGCTAATGGAACATGATACAGAACTTCTACTCCAGCAACAGGAGGGGGAAAGGCTAGTTAAAAAGTCTCCATTCTAATCAGTATTATCTCCCCTTTCCATGTTTCAGAAGTTGATTTGGACAGCCACACATTAAACATAATAAAGATAATGAAATACATACTAAGGGTTTATCTGCATGTGTTAGAACAGATAGAACGTGAATATATTCAATATTATTTGAACATTATGGTCTATAGATCATATTACCATTTAAGTGTTTTATACATTGAATGCTTATGATGATTTTATTCTGTTTCTTTACATAACAGACAATGCAGTTTCAAGGTAAACTGAAGTTTCTCTTGGGACAAAAGAAGAAGTCCTCTTCAGGAACAATATTACCCCCTCAGTTGTCCTTATTCTGCATAGTGGCACCACTTCTGCTCCCTTCTATGACAGAGCTGAAGATGAAAAGTCTGCTTGTGAAAGCGAAACACAAAGCTGATGATGCAGCCACAATGGATACAAAGTATTTTCAAATGAACCTTTTAGTATTTATCATTACTTACTGTGGATTTATATTTATTAAACATGTAAAAAGCATAACTTATTCTAAATATCCCTCTGTTTAAAAACTCTCAATCTTAATAACGATATCTAGCTTCTTTCAATATTTTTGTTCTTTCCTTGCTATTGTTCAAAAAATATCAACATAATAAATAGTTGTGTTAGATGTAAAAGTGGCAAATAAAAATATATCCATTCATTTGGAGGGAGTTCTCAACTTGCCACAGTGTGTAGCATGGCTACTGTTTAAAGAATGACCCCATGGGCAAACCTTAGTAGCAAACTGAGGAAGGGGGAACATTTGGATGCTAAATGTGCCTGTATGTGTATCTGGATGCATGTGAGGGAGAGGCAGACCTGATCTACACTTTAAAATGGAACACACTTGTCAACAATTATGCTAGCTGACTTGGGGCGGAACATGATGCAGCAGTCAGTGTAGCCCGGGACAAAGTACGTCTGGTGTTTGCTCCTTGGTAAATTTCCTGCCTCTTTTGTGATTAAATCTCAGATTTAATGTTTAGATTAAAACAACGAGGAGTCTGGTGGCGCCTTAAAGACTAACGGATTTACTTGGGCATAAGCTTTCGTGGGTAAAAAACCCACTTCTTCAGATGCATGGAGTGAAAATTACAGATACAGGCTTAAATATATATTGGCACATGAAGAGAAGAGAGTTACCTTACAAAAATGTTTAGATTGTGCTCTGTAACTTGCACTGAATAGTACCATATACCATGAGTTCCAGTGATGACAGACGACTTGTGGAATATGGTACTGTTCAGTGTGCGCACGACTATCAGAATCTGGCTGTTAGCATTGTTTTTGTGTGTGCTGTGTGTGTACTATATACCGATATGTTATATTTCTGGCAAGTTAACCACTTGATGTCATTTTGACAAGGCAGTGGAATTGTTGAAAAGTTGAAGGTGATAATGGAATATGAAATAGTTGACCTCTAGGTCAACATTTGGAATATAGTCCAGGTCAGTGGTGATCAGAAGTCACTACAACTTGCCAGCTTTTCAGTGGGCTACGTGAAATGAGTTGGTGATCTCGGGCCAGTTCCTATTAGAGAACTGATTATAGCACAAGCATTATTGGCAGTCTCAGCAAAGGCAAGGATGTAATAGGAATGCAGAATGAACTATCCTTTCACCTCTAGGGTCCCTCCAGTCCCGGGTTGAGGCACATTGGCATGGCAGTGTGGGGGCGCTTACACAGCCAATGTCCCTGTCCTACCTTTTCTGTTAATAAAGAAAGAATGGTAGGGTTTGTCTTCATGCACAGTTAACGTGGGAGATTGGGACCTAGGTTAGCCTGGCTTGGGTCTGAGAACTCCTACAGCGAAGCACTACCCATATTACTGTGTCGTTATTCTTCTTCCACTCATGTTGTGAGTTTGGGACATAGTCCATGGTTCTTTGTGATGTGTTTCTCAAATGCAGCTGCTGTGGCTACACGTGGCCACTGGGGGCTTTTCTTGTGGCCACAGCCTCCTAGATGGTGATTGGGAGGGAGGAAGCAGCGGCTCCTTCCCTGAGGCCTCCAGCAGTGGTTGGGCCCTTCCCCCCCTCTGAAGACACAAAAGCTGGAGGAACAGACAACCAGTTTGAGTTCCCTACCTTCCTGGGGTTGGTGGGGTCAGGCTTCAGCCCTGGGGTAGTGGGTGGCAGGTTCCAGCCATGGGGCTTCAGGCTCCGTCTCCTGCACGTAGGGCTTCAGGCTCCGTTCCCTGGCTGTGCGGTGGCAGGCTCTGGCCCCGAGCTCACCACACCCCCCATCACTCCTGACCCTTGCTGTCTCGCCCAGTGTCCCATTGCCCCTGGCTCCCACTGCCTCCATCCCCACCTAGGGTTTAATTTGTCCCTGGTCTTTCTGGGGCTGAGTAAGTCTGCTGTGAAAAGTGATATTTGTATGTGTGTTAATATCACTTTTCACAGCAGACTTACTAGCTACCAAGTCTTAAAGCAACCAAAAAAGCAAAAGAAACAACGAGAAAAAAGACAAGAATGTTCAAAGCACCTTATTTGTGTTTCTAATCTGTTTAGGTACAGTAAAGAATAGAGACAACTGTACATATTTTTTATTATAGAGTCTGCAAAAAATTCAACATAAAAATAATGATTTGTGCATGTGTATGTGCATATTTATATGTTTTTCCTAAAGTTAAGTAAGTATTTTAGGAAAAATTGTCAGAGCAGCCACCAGCAAGAGTTGGTCGCCACACTCTGAGGCCATGTAATAATTTGTTTGAGAACCCCATCTAGGATTCTTTCCCAATCAATTGTGTCAGCTTTGGGATAACTTACCTGTCCTTCACGGGGAATTGTGGGAAGGCACTGGAGGACTATCAGTTCTCAAGTGACTTTTGCCTGTGTCTTCATTGCAAAGTGGGCAGGTTTCCCATTGAGGTAAAGCAGAACCTGGGCTCTAACCTGTACCCTCAGCCAGGTAAATTAGGCTTAACGCATCTTCAAACCTATGTTAAAGGATTTTCTGTGTGGATGCGGGGAGGGAGGGACGGGGGAGGGGGTTGGCTAAAACCCAGGTATCAGCCCAAGTTAACTGTGCAGTGAAGACATCACCTTAGAATCCAGTGTAGTCAGTTTGGCACGAATCACAAGCTCTAAAATGCATTTAAAAATAAAGACTGTGACTGATTATAAATCTAAACTCTGTGATGATTCTTGCTACATGTTGAAGCCCATTTGCTAGCATTTATCTTTAATGCTAACACTCAGATACCTTGGTTGTATAAGAATCTAATGGAATAGAATTGAATGGAAACATTACCATTTTTTTCAATCCAATCTAAATGTTGTTATTCCAGGAAATAAGTACTGAGCAGAACATTCTTAATCATATTTTTTCTTTACAGTATGTACAGTATTCCAGTCCAACACTGGATTGGAAATTCATATGATCCAGCAATTACTGGCAAACATTTAATTTTAATTATCACACATTCAAACCATAACTACTTAATACATGTTTGCTAGTTTAAAAGTCATGTCTTACACATTTTTGTGTGTTTGCCCTTAGCTGAATTGTCATTCACTGACCAAATATTTTCACATTGTCTGTCCTCTGCAGTTCAAAAGCTATTTCAGGTCTATGTGAAACAGAATTACAAGGAAGAACCAGTTACCATGAAGGTGCAGCTTTCACTAATGTGTTACAAAATGCTGAAAACCAGATCAAAGGTATCAGGTTGTAATAATTCTGCATTACTGACAGTTTATGGAGACACTCTTCCTCCCCCCACATCCCCAATTTAAGTTTTCCATTTTTAGTCCCAATTTCCCATTTTTCTATAGTCTGCTATTGTGATGTAGATTCATCAAATATGAGATAGAGAATGGCTAGATTATGGTGTCAATACTAGCTGCCTAGAAATACAATGTTACCAGTTCTCACAATTTTATCACAAGGCTTGTGATTTTAAGTGTGTTTTCTTAAAGCTCCAGCACCCAGATTCATGTGATTACAGATATAGTAGGCTATACGTCTCTAGTGCTCCCTGGGGGAAAAGTGGGCATTGATCCTGCCTCAGCTGCCAGGGCACACCCTTCCAGCTGTGCTAGCTGAGGTGTCAGCCCCTCTTGTGTGGGGAAGGTTAAAGTAGTCCAAACAAAAAGTCACTATGCTTCCACAGCCATGAAAGGCCTTTGGAAAGCTGAAGAGAAAGGTATCAGCCCTTCTCTTTTCTGAGGGGGGTTGGTCGGCCAAGGCTCTCAAGTAGTTTCCCTAGTCAGTAACCCCTTCTTCCAGAGCCTGGAGAGCTCTGGGATGCAGTCCTGCTCCTTCAGAGTGCCACACAGGCTGCACTGAGCAGGGAGTCTCCCTTTTAAGGACCCACCCCCCTCAAGGCTTGACATTCCTTACAGGTGGCCGGGTTGCAGCTGATTGTGCCCAGAGGAGCTCTTTAACCCTCTCCTGAGTGGGGTTGGTAGATCTGCCCCACTGCAAAGTGTAAAGTCTTAGCATTCATTAAAAAGAGAGGTTTCTCATGGTTGAAGCAAAAAGCTTGAAAACATGATGTGAACGTACCCTAAAGGTGCAAAACCAGACAGCAAATAAAAAGCAATGAAAATGTATTGGTTTTTTTATGGGTTTTGTTTTTATTTGTGTTTTGGTAACCTGATTCATGATTTCTGAATGGTTGGGACTTACACTACTGTGAGAATCTATGATCTGCTATAGCTGTCTTTTACAAATTGGCAGGGTGTTTAATATAAAATGTAAGAATTTAGTAATCTTCTTTGCTGACTTTTGATAGTTATTTCTCCTCAAGCCTTCCCTTCTCCCTCTTCCCTATACAGATAACTCTATTAACTTCTTTTTTGTACAGGCTTGAAACCTTGAAATTGTACTGTCTTTAATACAAGTTCTCTATCACAGCCACTTTCACTGTCTAGTTTCTCTTGAATCTTTCATTATTAGACAGGCAAAACCTGTACTGAACTGATGATACTGCAAAATCTCACTGATTACAGTTTAAGTGTTTGCAAATTGAACATTTAATCTTTTTTTCCAGTGTGCATTCTTGCCTGTAATTTGCCTAGTTAATCTTAGCCATAACACATTCTGACTTGCACTTTTCTGTGTAACAGATACTAAGGATACCACGCATATTTGTGAGTGTCCAGTAGTTTAGTAGGTTATATAAAACTAATATTAAAATTGTTTGCACTAGAATATATTTTCTTTTAATTTTTATAGCAAACAATGGAGAAAATGGCATTTCTCTATTCAAAGTACTAACAAATGAAGATCACTGGGTCTGGGTACAAGCTAATACTCAAGTTCTGTACAGGACTGGCTGTTCAGAATACGTCATTGCCTCACAGCAAGCTCTAAAGTAAGTATATTTACATTTTCCTGTAGTTCTGAAAGATAAAGACACTATTCACCAAAAGTAGGACTTTCCAAAGCACTTAAGTGTCTTAGGAGCACAATTCCCACTGAAAGTCAATGAGACTTGGGCTCCGAAATCACATAGGATTTTCAAGAGTGCCTAATTTCATTAGAGACGTCACTTTGCCAGTATAATTTATGTGGGAAGCACTCAGGTACTATTGTAACAGCCACTAGTGCAAAACCCTAAGATGAATGACGACTGACTTCACAAGCCCTTTCAGTGGGCCTTACTCAACACAATATTTGTATTCTTCAAAGAGGCAGTTCCTAGAGGTGCACAGATCCTATCTCCACAGTAGGTTGGATCATTTGGCAGCAAGAAGAGCCTCTCATGGAATCCAAAATAACCCCCTAAACAAATCATCCCTTCAGTAGACTACTAGACAGCTGATGGGGAGGAAAGTTCATACAAATAACTTTCTACCACTTGACTTTCATAACTCCCAATTCTTAAGACCTTCAATCCTCCCATTTATGGCTTAGAAACAACTGGGAGTCAATCCAGCTCTGGACTACAATAATTCTCTTTTGTGGCTATAGATTTTGGGATGGTACTGGCCTTCTGAAGTATGGGGAACACACTCAGAACAAGAAAAACTATGATGGAGGCTCTTCTCAGCAACCAGCAGAGTGCGCTGCAGGAAGCCTTCGCTGTCCCCTTGGTTGCCAGTGTCCTCTTATTTTGTCATATCTGGGAACCACGGTCATTTCTTGTTCTTTATGGCTGATAGCTGAATGATGTTGTCAGAGGCAGGGATTATAAAGTATCCTTGAATCTCACCCTTTAAACATTTTCTGGGATGATGTAAATAGGGAAGCTTGTGTTCAATGCAAAAGGTATAGGTTCCACTGGGAGTAGAATCTGTGCCCATCTTTGGAACCCATTTCTTATTACTATCGATATAAGCCTCCCTATTCACATGTTCTCTATTATTTGCTCAGACTGCCCATAGAACTGTACATAGAGGGACCAGACCCTGTCTATGTAGATCTCTCCTCTTCTCCACAAAAAAGGCTCAGCCATATTTCTGGAATGGTCTCTTACACTCGCGCCCCCCCCCCCCAATGGACCTGAAGGAGGCCTCTCTGCAGTCTGTGCTGAGGAAGGAGGTAGAGAGTGGGTGGACTGGGTGCAGGGCCAGGAGATGTGCACAGAACCCCCTCTCACTCTGTGAAAATTGTATTTAGACTGTTGCCCCTTGGCTTTGTTGCTTTTTGCCTCTGTCCCTCTCTCTGTTCTCACCTGTCTTCAGTTTCTGTGTGTTCTTCTTTCCTGCCTGTGCACACGCACACACAAAACAATACTCAGCAAAAAGCCCCTCCTCTGCCCACATAATCCAAAACTCCTGGGTGCTCTGTTAGGCCTTGTGTCATGGAATGTGGCTCCTCTCCCGCCTTCTCCCCGCAGAAACTGCACGGACTCCAGTGGTGGTGCCTTCACCATATCTTTTTATTTTAAAAGTTCCCTCCACCTTTTTCACAACCATCCCCATGCAACAGTCTATTTACATTGTTAACCTAGCTTTTGGCCCTCTCATCAGGGCCTGAGGGGAACAGAAGACTCCCTAGTCTGAGCCTCTGTGTGGCTAAGCTCAGCTAACCCCGTTCTTCCCTCTCTCCCCTTTACGCTTCCTTCCTGTGCTTCTTCTTATCAGCCTTGGGCTGGTGGGGTAATTGGCTCAGCTGGCCAGCCTGATTAACTAATTCCCCCCATCAGTTTTCCCCAGGGGAACTAATTCATATCTGAGTGATCAGAGTGCAGGCTCACCTGTTTACACTCTGTCATGTCTTGTTTTAGAAGTAGCCCTTTAGCTGCCTCACAACTATCTTAAGCGCCTGGCACATTTACACATCAATTTCAATGAGTTTTTAACTAAAGATATAACAAGGTTTAACCCAGCTCATAACAGCATCCGCAATCTCAGCTTCTCCCCATCATCAGGATGAGGCCTAAAAGGTGCCATCCAATAATCCATCCCAAACAGAAAAAAAAAAGAAATAATTAAAAAAATTACAAATGGTATAAACTTACAGTGTCTTTCAGTCAGACTGTCAGGGCAGGAATATAGGTGGCTGGGCCTAGTGGTATGTGTAGGGTGGGGACAAATCCTCATGACAGCTGGGGTTCAAAACAAGGAGATCAGGAGCTGAGTGTTGGATACCATGAAGGGCAATTTAAGAAACCCAGTCAGGCTCAGGATACAACAGCTGGGTGAGCACTATGAACCAGGGTGGAGCCCAACTATATGGGCAGCTTCCTTTTCCTCCTTCCTGCTTAAATAGGGGGAGCGGGTCAATCTGGCACAGTGGTGTTCCACCAGTTGGGACCCAGGGCTGGAGCCTTCTATCTAAAGTGGCTTCAAGGAGTCCCAGTTCTAGCTGATGCCAGTAAGCATCAAGTGGAAGACTGGAGCATGATGTGTCGTCGTCCTGCCCCGGCTAGGAATCCTGCAGACCCAGGTTTGAGACCCATGGGTCGTGACACCACCCTAAGCCCTAGAGACATCCACTGGGCAACATTGGTCCAGGTTTCTCAAGGTGGTTCCTGTGGAAGGCTCATACCTGGGTGGGGGCATGAACATTTTCTGCTGGCTCCAGGTCCACCCATCAAGGCCATAGCCCTCTCAGTCAATTAGATACTAGAGCCTACCTCATTTCAGTTTGGTACCTAAGACTTTCTGAATGATGTATTCTTCATGCCCTCTATACGCACTGGTGGGAGGGGTCCTGTGGGGAAATGAATTCTCTGAGAATGGTTTTAGGAGTGATATATAGAACACCAGGTGGATTCTAAGGGATTGAGGTAGGTGGAGCTTGAAGGGAACCAGATTAAGTTGTTGCCAGATTTGATGGGGCCAAGGAATTGGTAGTCAAACTTACTAGAGAGTCTGTCCATGCGAAGGTTCTCTGTTGAGAGCCATACTTTTGTCTCACTGAACACGTAGGGCTCTGCTAATGAGGCTGATATATGTGTGCCATTAGTAGTCTTTCATTTTTTCAAGGTGTTCCTCACTTCCTCCTGGATTTCATGGATCCATTGTACTGATCTGAGGTGGTCAGGTTAGAGGAGGTCTTGGGTCGCTTCGGTGAAATTCAGGGCTGTACCCAGAGTCAGTGCAAAAAAAAGGGTGGGGGACTTGGGTCCGTGGATGCCTGGTCTGCATTATTATATGCAAACTCCACATAGACCAAGTGAAGACCAATCATCCTGGTGATAATTGACATAGCATTGCAGGTACTGTTCAAGGATCTGATTCACCTTCTCTGGCTGTTCAACTGGGATGGTAGGTGGAGGTGTGGTATGTATGGATCCTCAGTAACATAGTTTCACGCTAGAACCAGGAAGTGAATTGTGGCCCTTGATTGGTGGTAACGTGATCAGGGAGGCCGTGGAGACTGACTATCTGGTTTATCAATAGTTGGGCAGTTTCCACAGCAAAGGGTGGACCAGTGCAAGGAATTAAGTGGGCCCTCTTGGCAAAGTGGTCTACCACAGTCCAAATCTGGTAATTCCATGACGAAAACTAAGGCAATGGCTGTTTGGGGTCAGGATGGGGTTTCCAGAGGTTGGAGAAAGTTGCAGCGTTCATGGTTTAGTTCCTTGATAGAGGTGCATACATCGCAGGAAGCAGTGAATGCCTGCATTGTGGGACACTGTGACATTACCCAGGATATAATCTGGACTGTTGAACAGCTGTGTTCTCTCAATTCTCCACCCTTCGGTGCCTTTTACACTGCTTTGCTGTGAGAGTAACCACTCCTGGTCTGCTCACACTCTGCCTCCAGCATGTAAATTGCTCCCAGCTATACAGTATGAATGCTATGGACAGCCACTCTTGAATTACACTGCAGAACAACAACAGCAAATTCCCAGTCCCAGATTTTCCCCCAGAAATGTGTTTCTTGTACAGCCCAGCCCTCTCCTGGAAAACACAAGCTCATATAAAGTACATCATTTTATTAATAGAAAATGATACACAAATTCTGTTATCTCAAATGGATTTTCCCAAACACTTCAGTCCAAACACACTGGTTTAGATAAAACAATAAAACAAGTTTATTAACTACAGAAAGATAGATTTTAAGCGATTACAAGTAATGAGGCATAAAAGTCAAAATTGGTAACAAAGAAATAAAAGGTAAAATGCAACTAATATGTAACAAGCAGCTAAGTAAATTCAAAGCAAAAATCTCTCTCATGCCATGCATCAGCAGTGTTACTGGCTGAAATACTTTCAGACAGGATCCCTCCCTCAGTCCAAAGCTGTTTCTTTGTTCCTCAGGTGTTGCGGCTGCCAAGGGTAGAGGAAAAAAGGAGGGATAACTTGGGTCATCTGTTCCCCATTCTTATACTTTTCTTCTTCTTTGAGAATCATCTCCAGCTGGAGTTTAGGAGACAGGAAGTCTGTGGGAAACTGTTTCTTTGCCAAGATGTAAATTTTTCACTCACACCCTTTTTCCTGCCAGTTAACAAGGTGATAGTTCATTTAATTTCATTGTCATCTGGCTGAGGCATCAGTTTATCTATTGTTTCCGAGGAACTGGTTTGTGGATGCTTTTCTAAACTGGGAACATGTCTCAGTAATGTTATACCGTAGAATTTTATAACTTTACATACAATGTTGCTGCACATATTTTACCAGGACAACAATGATCAGCAAATTATGAGTTTTCAAATGAAACCTCACAAGCTGTACTTCATACAAAATTTATCATAGTCTTGTAAAAGGGGTGAACATAGTTGGTACAGATTGTCACAGGCACATTTGAGGCCAACAGAAGAAGAAGGACCCTTGGCTCTTAGAGCACCCAAAGTGTCTGATCAGTGGGGAGTCATGGCTTAACTGTACAATAGCCACTCTTGCTGGACCCAGGGGAATGTAAATACTCACAACTATTTATTCGCAAAGGTGGTTTACTTACCAGGTGTCGTGCGACTCT